ACACTGAGGAACCACAGCTGAGGGATAGGAGGAAGAATATGAAGAAAAAGACAAATGAAAAAAGGGATCCCCAAAGAGGTCAGAGTTAAAGTTGCAATAAAATTGTAATATAAGCAATCATGAGAGAGACTTAAGATGTAGTGATAATTAGATCTAAGGTGTGAATAGAGTTTATTCTGGTGCTTTATGAAATTTAAAGATGTGTTCATATGTTCAGGTGAATTCCTGGAAAAATATACTGAGCTGCATCTACTGGGAAAAGGAGGATATGGATCTGTGTTTGCTGGATATCGAAAGGTGGATAAATTACCTGTAGGTGTATTTGGAATACTTAAAAAGAGGCTCTGTGAAGTTATCAGTAATAGTTCTTCTAACAGTAGCAGTCAAAGTTTGTAAAAAAGAATTGATATCCTCAGAGAGGTGCAAGTCTAACAGGTAGTCAGACTCTTTCAGCTGATTTTAGCTAATAATGTCTCAAACTGAAAAAGTTCAGGTCTGTAAAATAAGATTATATTAGATAAATGACTTAATTAACCAATGAGACTTTCAGAATAAAGGTGCAGATGGGTGATATTTACTAATACATACTAGAATTGCACAATTGTGAACATTTTAATTTCTTGTAGTTCTTAATTAGATTTTGGAAAGACCAAACTAGATAGCTAAATTTTCATTCGATTTTAATGGTGCATTTACAACAAAGGCGTTCCGCGCATCAAGTATGCGCCCGACGTTTCAAGTTCGACGCGTGTGCACTTTGAATGCAGACGCTTGACGTATCTTGCATTTCGCTGGTTTACATTCAAAATCTATGTGGAGGCACATCGGACGCTCTTGATGTGTCAAACGCTCGAAACACTCCAAACGGTTCCAATCACGTTGCACTAGATGGTAGAAACACAACGGCCCTCTACACGCCTACACATAGACTTTGACTTTGAAACGCGCCTGATGCTCAAAAAGTGTTTGTCGTGAACTCACCATAATACTCACAATACTGATAACTCCACATCAAGCAACTAAAGAAAATCTGAACCCTTTAAAGATATTCCCATTGCTGAGCAATGCTTTATTTCTATTGTATAGGTGGCTATCAAACACATCCCAAATGAAAAAGTGGGCCGCAAACATAAGGTAAGTGAGGAAAAGCATCTAGGACTGACTTTAAGTCCTATTGGATTCCAGATGCATTGTGGGTTTCTCCTGTTTGCTTTGATGTTTCAGGATGAGAATGGTCAGGAGATGGCGTTGGAGGTGGCCATCATGTTGAAGATTAAGAATATAACTACCAGCTCATCAGGGCAGTTAGCCACGGTGTCCCTGCTGGACTGGTATGAGCTGGAGGAAGAGCTGCTCCTCGTGATGGAGAGGCCCATGCCTTCAGAGGACCTCAATGTCTTCCTTGATGAACATGAAGGTTGTCTAAATGAGGAGGAGGCCAAGGTAAGCTGCTGGATGCAAATTCGAGTGGGTTCAGTTGCTTTTGTGGATTTTGTTTCATAGTGAATATGATAAAATCAGAGGCATGAAATACAGTGCAATATTCCCTCCGTAAAATAATTTTATAAAACTTGTTTTAATCCATCACATAACGTCTCCACAAATATTGAAGTGTGTGGGTGTAATGTGACAATGTGAAAAAAATCCATATGAAAATAAAAATTTTTACAAGTCACTGTATTTCTCACTGAAGTCCAACATCAATCTGTGCAGAATTATGAGCTTCAAATCATTTTTGTCTTTTAGATCATATTAAAACAGCTGGTGGAAGCAACAATTCAACTTCAGGACGCAAACATTTTCCACAGAGATATTAAAGTGGAAAATGTCCTTATTGAGAGGAGCTCAGAAGGCCTACGAGCCTATCTCATAGACTTTGGTCTAAGCTGCTTTGACCATGGACGTAAATTTACCATCTTCCAAGGTTCAATATCCTGCTTCTTTCTGTCAGTTCTGAGAAAAGATTATTTTTACTGTTCTTCCTCTTCTTTCTGACTTTTAATTCTCACACATTTTCTAGGGACCCGTGCTCTGGAATCACCAGAATATCGGACACAAAAGAAATATTCTGCTGGACCCACAACAGTGTGGCAGCTTGGGGTGATCCTGTTCGAAATTCTCCACGATAGGAATTTTGAAACCAACAGCTTTCTCAAAAAGAAGCTGAAAATCAGCAGGAAGCTTTCCAAAAGTGAGACAAACATTGTATTGTATCTTCTCACAGCATATATATAAATCTGTCCTCTGTTCGCAGCTCTAACTGTTGTGGCACTTTGACCTCTGACCCTGCAGACTGCCAGGATATTTTGACTAGGTGCCTCAAGAAACACCCGGAGGATCGTCCCACGCTGGAAGAGCTACTGAGACACTCATGGTTTTCTTAAACCAGTCGATCTACGTTCCCTACGATCTATGGTCATGAGCTTTGGGTCATGACCGAAAGAACGAGATCACGGATACAAGCGGCCGAAATGGGTTTCCTCCGTAGGGTGGCTGGGCTCTCCCTTAGAGTTAGGGTGAGAAGCTTGGTCATCCAGGAGGGATTCAGAGTAGAGCTGCTGCTCCTTCACTTTGTGAGGAGCCAGCTGAGGTGGCTTGGATATGTGGTTAGGATGCCTCCTGTATGCGTCCCTGGTGAGGTGTTCCGGGCACGTCCACATGTGCACAGGGAGGAGGCCATGGGGAAGACCCAGGACATGTTGGAGGGACTATGTTTCTCAGCTGTGTCAGGTGGTGTGGTTGATGGTGGTGAGGAGAGATGCAGGGACCCAGATGAAGATGACATGAACCCTCATGGGTTCCATAGAAATGGCCTACATTTATGTTGTTGATAGTTTTTAACCATAAACATGCAGATTTCAACACACAGTTGGGACACAACTACAGGAACTATCACATAGTTACATCCACACAAAGATACAGAGCAGCTGAGAAAATGGGAAACAAAGTATCCTTGTATTTGTAGTTTACATATGTATTTGTGCAATGTATATTGATTTTGCTTGTCATTAGTCACATTTTCATGCTTCACCAGATCCTGTCTCACTTCCTCTCCTGCCCCTTGTCTTCATTTTCTTGTCTTTCATCAAATCCAGACATTAGACAGGCACCAGACACAACAAACCTCATATGTTTTTTGTAATGTTCTGTCACTTAGTCTTTTAGGTGTTCTGTTGACTATGTTTTCCTCCACATCTAGATTATCTTGGAAGACATCTATGTGCTGTTTTTGTAACTCCACTCAGACAACAATATCGGCCCACTAACATGTTCTTTGTCATTTTAGGTCTGTTCTTCCATCAGAGCCAGAGCTCCAGTGAATGTTTTGTTTGTCTTGTCCACTTTCCTGTCCTCTCCAACCCCAGCCGGTCGAGGCAGATGGCCGCCCGTCCTGAGCCTGGTTCTGTCAGAGGTCTCTTCCTTTGAAAGGGGAATGTTTCCTCTCCACTGTCGCCCCATGCTTGCTCAGGATGGGGGACTGCATTGATATAAAGCTCTGATGCAGTCTGCTGGTTTCCTCCCCTTCACAGAATCGCCACCTTAACGTGGTGGAGGGGTTTGAGTACCCCTGTGGTCTTGAAGTCTTGGCTGTCTGTGAGTTTCACCTCAGGTGGGGTCTCACATGGCATAAAGGCTTCAGGGCGGGGTCAGACCAAGAGCGATTCCTAGACTTTGTTGCAGAAAGACCATAAATAATGACAGGTATCATCTGCAGTACGCACCTTCCTGGAGAGAAAGAGCATCTAGCAAGCAGCTGCTGGTCGACTTCAGCTGCATAATCTCAGAGCATCACTGACTCCGCTTAACATGCAACACCTGTAGAAAAGGACAGTGAGGTCAGATACCATGTGAGTGGAATCATTCTGTATTTAGGAACACAAATACAAATGGTTATATCTCTCTTTGTTTAAAATCAAATATACTTTGGATTTTAAAGCAAGTTTTAACTTAGCTCAGATATTTTTTTCTGCTCTCTGAAAACAGCGTTTATATTTTAAAATTCCTACTTGTTTGCACAAATGTTCAAATGTTTTCCAAACCTTCACATCATCACCCCTGAAAAAAATCATTGCCACCCTCTTGCCACCCCATAGATATTTTTCTAGATCCGCCTGTGTGCAGTCCCCATCATCACTTTCATTCTTTGTAACCAACATTTGGAATGTTCTTCGTGATATCACACTGGTTGGTGTCAGAACCCTTGGAGGTTTGACAAAATTCATAAAAAGTTAACACAAACTCAGACATTCAGATTTAAAATCAAAGTGCTAAATTTATTTGACTTAAAGAGTAGAAGGTAGTAGACACAACTAAATGCTGCTCAAGTGTTTTAGAGTGTAGTGAATATAACCTCTTAATATATAGTTAAGATATTTAGAGTTTTTGTCACTCAGAATTTCTGTTTTATTATTGGTTAGGAACATTGAAATCTCTGCTGGCTTCTCGGAGAAGCATGAATTTGGATGAAAAAGACTTAAATGTTCATAAGTTTGTTAATAAAGTCCCTGATGAGATATCAGTATGTGAGGTAATTCAAAAATACTAAACATGAACTCTAAACAATCATTAATTTTCCACAATATTACTTACGATAGAGAGAAGCGGCAGCATGATGCTACAACGCACAGAGTCTGCTGAGGACTGTGAGATCCACAGAAAAAGGATCAGGTCCTCTGAGATTGCCGGAACCTCAAGAAGCTGCCAGGACCTGATCAGAACCAGGAGGTTACTGAAGAGGAAAATGACAGAAGAAAAAGAAGAAGGTTCAACACTGGCCAAGTGTAGTAAGGAAAAACCCCAGGAGCAGGTTCCAACCAGAGAGTCTTCCTCC